AAGGCTTCTCTCATTCTAATTATGAGACACTCATACTTGTTTGCTAATTGTGATGACTACCTCTAGGTATGTACACTTGAGGCTATCTAAAATCAGAAATAACTTCTTAATTCATCATTACAAAATTATGTCCAAGGGAGAAGAAGTTATTTTGCTTTGGCTTGATAATTGCATATCTGTTTTCAAAAATCATTCACTCTGTTTTAAACTTAATAGAGTCATACATATTCATGTTGAAAAAAGAAGTGACACATTTCAAGGAAAATATAATTTGAATGTAATCTGCTATGAAAGTTAGATTATGGTGCATGGATACCTTTCAAATTGATTACATATTATTCAAATATATGATTTCATAAGTAATTTACTTTGTTATCATTATTACATTTCCACTTCAATCTTTAAAATGATATTTTTGTAGACTTGTATTGCTTCTAATTGTTGTTATTAAAGTTATATTATGAAGAATGTTCTTACATGTATCTCTACATCTATGTTGCATGTTATTTCCTTAAAATAAAGTCATAGGTTGCTTGTTGTTAGGTACTATGGAGTAAACGCTGACGCCCAGAGCGATAGACAACAGAACAAATCATGTCTTAGCTGTGGGGCCACCCTCATATTCGTTAGTATATTTGAGCCCAGTGTTGCAGTGACTCCACATCAATCAATTTACATTATTGAGGGTCGACCTCTTTTTTGTCAACCCTCGACCAACCATGATGCCCTTCTCCAGGGATTGTTCTCTCCTGATAATATGTCCAATGTGAAACAAAAATCTCACCATCCTCACTTCTAAGAAGCATCCTGGCTGTCCTTCCTCTAAGTGATTTGTTCATTCTTCTGCTGGTACTCAATGTAGCCAATAATCTTTTCCACCACTACAATCTGCTTCTGACAAATCTTTGTATTCCTTTTTCATTTACCTACCACTTATGTGCGCATGAGCTGATTGAAAGAGCCTGGTTTGTGTCAAGTGCATATTCATCATTAAAATATCTTTGCTTTAAAAAAAGAAAAGGTTTTTGAAGGTGGTTTTTACAGCAGATACATCATTTGATTTCTTCACTACTGTTTCCATGGATACTGATGACCAATCCAAATAGAGTAAAATCATGGATTACTTTTAGCTTTTCTCTCATTTGTTATGATGTCTAAATACCTATTAGTAGGAAATTGATTAAATTAATCATGGTATACTCATGTCATATGATTTTTTTCAATAAAATAACTTCAATAAAATACATTCCAAGAAGTGAGTAGTAAAATAAAAGCAAGCCCTGGGTTCCTTTGGACACGCGCCTCCATCCTTATGCTTGGTATAGCGAAAGACTGGCATGTTTACCAAACTGGATCCCGCAGCACCTGCAAAAGCTGGAACCAGCGTAAGATGGAAAGTTGCCAGGAAAGGAAAACTCAAGCTATTTTCCACTAAAATGAGTGACAGGAAAGTGGTAAGACAGGACTCTGTCAAAGGTGGAAAATAGACGAGACAGGGACAATGAGGCCTCTCCATTAAGTGCCAGCTCTCACATGTTTTATCAGAACCTAACTCATCACCCTCAAGTCTATTCCAACTCATAGCAAGCCTATGACCAAATGTCATGTTATTTTGGGTTGGGTTGCTAAAAGTTCTCAAAGAGTATGCAATGCCATTATAATTTTAATGTTTTAAATTTTTTCAGCTTTTATTTTAAATATTATTTTTACAATCCCTATGTGGTGTTATACTGGGTTGAGTCTTGGGGTGCTAGCTAATAGGTCAGCAGTTCAAGCCCAACATCCCCTCCTTTAGAGAAAGATGAGGCTCCTGTTCCCATAAATATTTACAGTCTCCCAAACTCTATGAAAGTGTTCTATTCTGTACTATGGGGTCATTATGAGCCTGAATTGCCTAGTTGGCAGTAGATAGATGGGTACCAAAGAGTATGATTCAAAAGGTAAAAACAACTCAGTCCCACATTTACATAGTATCAATGGCACAGGGTGAGGAGTAAGGGATCTCATGCCAAACTCATTTCATAAGGGTGTTGATTCTTGACCAGAACGAATTTTTAGGATCATAACCTGGCAAGCTCATGCTGTCCCAAGGGAAGAATTACTGTTGCATTTTCATAATCAAAGGGCAGTGTGTTACAGGCAGCTGTTCTAAGAGCAGTGGGGTGAGCTGATCTGTAATCTGTTTCTACCTATGCTGTATCTTTCTTTAAAAGACGACACATCTGTGAATCTTAACCATAAATTAAATCGGTCATTTTCAGCCAGTACCACAGCAGTGAGTTTCCTGTACTGCATCTTTACAAGCCATTCTAATAGTTGAAATGTCCTCTTAGGATGGGTTCTTGATGTATTGTTTTGTTTTCAGGTCGTTGTCATTTTGGACAATGCCTGGTGGTACAAAGCGTGAAGCGCTCAGCTACTAACCACGTGGTTGCCAACTCACATCTATGGAAGCTGCCTGAGAAGAAAGGTCGGTCAATCAGACCACAGCCATTATCCCCCTCTGAAGGCACCGTGAGGAGAAAGAAACTCAGAATTTACCCCGTTGGTTTCGTTGTCTGTTTTCCAGGTGTCTTCATTTTTCTTTCTTTCTCCTTTTATTGTATTTTTTAGTCTTGTAGGTAGAAATATCCTTAATGAAGTAAGGAAGAGAGAGCGTGCTTCCTGGTTGCCTCATCACGGTGGAAGCTGCCCTGTTACAATGACATCTGCATCAGAATGCCTTACCCAGCTCCTCCCATCTCCTGAGTTCAATTGTAGGAAGATCCTGAAGACTACAACAAAGCAATCTGGGAGGAGAACTGGGGGAAATAATGATCATTGTTGAGAATAACTTGTGTTCTTTCTTGCTATTCATTGTTAGATGGCCCCCAGTTGGTTCTGCCCCAAAGCCACCCTGTGTATGCCAGAATAAAGCACTGCCAGGCCCTCTGCTGTTCGCCTCAGCTTTCTCCTTTTCATTGCACCGCCCCTCTGCCCAGCGCGACCTTCTACAAGGACTAAGCTCTCCTGATGACATGTCCAAAATATGAGAGACAAAGTCTCATCATTTCTGCCTCTTAGATGCACTCTGGCCGTACTTTTTCCAAGAAAAATGTGTGTGTCCTTTCTGCATTCCATGTTGTTATTGCTGCTGTCAGTTGCCCTTGAGTTGACTGTGACCCAGTGGGCTCTGACCTATCGTGACCTTCTGGTGAGAATGAAACCATTTCTGGTCCTGCCCCCTCCTCACAGTTGTTCCTGTGCCTGAGCCTATTGACGCAGCCCTAGTGTCAATCTGTCTTGTTGAAGACCTTCTTCTTTTTCAGTGGCCTTCCACTTTACTAAACATGATGTCCTTCTCTAGGGACTGGTCTCTCCTGACAATGTGTCCAAAGTATGCAAGACCAAGTCTTACCACCCTTGCCTCTAAGGAGCACCCTTGCCTTACTTCTTCCAATACAAATTAGTGTGCCTTTTTAGTAGTCCATGATGTTTGTAATATTCTTTTCCAGTACACAAATAAACATGCATACATTCTTCTACAGTCTTCTTTACTCAATGTCCAACTTTCACGGACCTTTTTCTCAGATAGATTTGTTTGTCCTTTCAGTGGTCTATGTTCTCTTTCTTCTCCAGCACCGTAATTCAAGTGCATGGATTCAGCTTCAGCTTCCTGGAGTCAATGGCCAACTGTCCCAGGCATAGGAGGCCAAGGAGAAGACCATGGCTTGGATCTGGTGCACCTTCGTCCTCAGAGTAACAACTTGCCTTTTAATACTCTAAAGAGGGCTTGTGCACCAGATTTACCACTGCAATCTGTCTTTTGTTATCTTTATTGCTGCTTCCATGCACATCGATTTGGATCCAAGCAAGACAAAATCCTTGACAATTTTAATCTCTTCTCCATTTAAACTTTAATCTTTTCTCCATTTATCATGATGTTACCTATTGGTCCAGTTGTGAGGATTTGAGTCTTGTTTATATTGTAGTGAAGCCCTATAGATTTCAATTGCATAATGGTGTATGTTGTGGGAGGAATTTGAGGATATCCACTCCCTTTATAAGGCTGCTATAAGTTTGAAAGGACTCAGTGACTTTTGTTTATTTGTTTTATATGTTATCTGTAAATAGTGTTTTAAAAATAAAATATTCCAATATGTATCTGTAGGCAAAATGATAACATTCACTTGTGTAGTCTCTGAATGCATCCCTCTCAAATGCAGACAGGGTGGTCCGGGTATCTATGGTTCAGACAGATTGGCACTTACAGGGCTATGCTGTCAAGGAGATCTAATGATTTACAAATAGGCTGCTCTTACCACCCTGACATTCATATGTAATCTTTGTCACTCATGTGTAATAGCAATGCATTGGAATTATTTAGCATTATCAGTATTGTAAAATTCAGAATTGAAATAAGGGTGATATTTTTTATATGGCTTGGAAAACACAGAATGAAGTAGTAGACCTAACATTTTGCTATGACACAAAGAAAATGAATTTTAGAGAAAAAAAATATCAGAGGATCAGGGAATATGGCCACTAGATAACAAGCACTGGGAGATCTCAGCAACCAAGAGGGACATCCTACACTTCTTGGCACCAAGAAAGTCAACTTCAAAGCTAAGTAGACCAATGTTTCTTAAAGTAGAAGAGCAGCAAGAACTCAGGACAGACTCAGCTTTACCACTGCCCAGCGCCTGTGTGTCCCACTCCTCCCTGGCACTGCCAAATTTTCCGGGTCCCTGAGGCAACCCAGGCATCAAACCTCTTACCTCACTAGCCTCTGGGGGCGCTGCATGTTTAACAGACTGCATATGCAGCAGTTCACATAGTCTACACTGCCCAGCATTTTTTTTTAATTGCTCCTTCTACCCTGATTTTTCTCCACTTCCCTCCCCTATTAAGTATATACCTACACACAATAACATTACCCAAGGAGCAGGAATCCCCTCACCCAAGATGGTTTTATTTTTTCTTTCTTTTTTGTACTTTCATTTTATTATAGTATTTTTTTTAACTGTTCCTTATGCAGTTCCCATGCCAAAGAAACCGAATTCAAAGGCAGAACGTGGCTGCCACGGTGGTTAATTTGGGCCTTTTTTGACACCACGTTCACTAGTTTCTGAAAGCGAAGGGGCAACACAAAAGCCGGTTATTATGGTATTTTATTGTCTTATTTTTCTAGTTTTCTCCCACTTTCACTGCTGGAGCAACCCCACCATCCTGAGAGTATGCATTTCCCTCAGGGAAAAACAGGCAGGCCTGCAGATTTGGGCATACCCACTCAAAAAGTCTTCCTCTCAGCACACAAGCACCCCCAGACACACAGTTACATAGTACTGTAATAGAACTCCCATGCCCACACCGAGCGTCTCTATTTATTCTCTTTACCTCCACACTTTATCTCTTTTTTTTCCTCCTTGTCTTTTCCCCCTATTTTTAGCTTCTTCCCATTCTCTCAATTTCTTTACTCTGTTTTCTCTCTGTATCTTCTTTAATTATGCTTCTTCTTATGAATACACACATACACACACCCAAATCCTCTTTTCTGGTCTGAATATTGGCTTATGTTTTTCTCCTGCCGCATCCATTATCTCTTTCTGCCCTCCCTCTTTGTCCTTGTGAAATATATTTCCATGAAACCTATGAATTCCGATTAGCCCATTTAAAATACTTTTATCATTATTTTTACATATCTATTGGCCTAGCCACATGGCCACTTCTATTATTTTAATTACTTTTATTTTATTTTCTCTCTTCTGCACCCCCTTTCCCTCACTTACCTATCTCTCTCCTCTTTTCTCTATTTCGTCTTTGCATGTTTTCTGAAATGTACTATACCTCTCCCACGTCACTAAACAGCGTCAACTACCTCTAGTTCACACACCACAAATAACTGCCCCAGGATGATGAGGAAACGGCAGTGAACCACAAGACAAAGAATAAGAACATCATGATCTTATTAATAGAGGCAAAAAGTATTTGACAATATACAACACCCATTTCTGATTGAAAAATACTCAATAACATGGGAATAGAAGGGAAACTCCTTGACATATAATAAGGTGCATATAAAAATAGCCAATGTTTAATACCACACTTAAAGGAGAACATGATAATAGTTCTCCTAAAAGCAGAAACTAGAAACAGATGCCCTCTTTTCACTACTCTTACCCAGCATCATGTTGGAAAGAACCATTAGAAAATCAAGGGAATACAATTGGACAGAGAACGGAAACTCTCACTGTTTACTGACTGTGTCAGTTTATTCACAGAGAGCCCCAGGACTCAACAAAATCTGTTAGAAATGACTGAAGATTTGGCACAGTAGCAATATGCGAGATGAACAAGCAAGTATCATTTGGATTCCTATCTACCAGTGAAGGGAGCTCTGAAAATGACGTCCAGGAAATAATACCATTCACCGTAGCCGCACAACCGATGAAATACCCGGGAAGGAAGGAAACAGACGAGCTATACAAGGAAAACTACAGAACTTTATTCCAGGAAACCAGACCTTCTCACATGGGAAAATAGCCCGTGTTTCTAGACAGGAAGACTTAATATTGTGAAAATCTCAATAATACTTAAAGCAACCTTTGAATACAACCCAACTCTAATCCAAATTCTAACTTTATTATTTAAAGAAATGGGAAAATGAATAAGCAACTTCCTATGTAGAGGCCCAGGGATGAGCAAAAAACTTCTCAAAAAGATAAACACAGTAGGAAATCTATTACTAACTGATCTCAAAACCCACTCTGGTAGTTAGTTTATTGTGCCAACCTGGCCGATAAACACATGTGGGATTAATTGAAGGGCGGAGAGATAAATGGCTGGGTGAGCTTTGCCTTTTTTGTTGCTTTCTCTTTGATCATTGGACCAGTGTGCGGCTGCCTTGCTTGATTTGTGCCTCAATTTGCAAGCTACACTACCTGTGGGACACCTAATCTGTGGACTGTGTTGCTGTAATTTGAGGTTCCTTCAAGACCTGCTTTGCCACACCATTGGAATTTACATCTCTTGAGCTGGGAACTGTCAGACCCTGTCATCTGGCTGACTGCTGGTGACCTGCCTTGCTGTTTGCTGCCTGTGCCTGGATAGCCTGAATTGCTCTACAGAGGACTGCCTGGTGGCCCTCAAGATTTGAAAGACTGACAGTGTCTCACAACTGTCTCACTGAACCATTTGTACTGGTTTATAATTTAGCTGTTTATTTCTTGCGTTATATATCTATCCATCTGTATAAATATATATATATATAAAATTATTAGCGATCTGGTTTTGTCTCTCAAGAGAACCCTGTCTAACACACCCACCACACTGCCCCTTTAGTCAAATTAGCCTGGTACAGGTATAATAACAGATACATAGACCAGAACAACAGGATTTTAAAAATCCAGAAATAAAGGCATCTACCCACAGACAACTGATTTTTGACAAAGGAAAACAAAACATGAAAATGAGAAAGGGACAACTTCTTCAACAAATAGTGCTGGAATAATTGCACCTCCACATGCAGAATGAAGCAGTATGCATATATAATCCCATGCACAAAAACGAAATCAAGATGGGTTAGAGACCTAAATGCAAACCAGAGCTATAAGGATCATCAACAAGAAAACCGAGAAAAACGTAAGGGTCTTATTTCAGGCATACATAGACTACTATGTATAGGGAAAGAAACACATGCAGGGAAAGATGAAATAGATGAGTGGGACCTATTAAAATGTATATACATCAAAATACTTCATTAAAAGGGTAAAATGAGAGCCCACAGATTTGGGAAAAATTGTTTAGCATTGATAAAATGGACAAGGAACTAATTACTAATATATATAGAATTCTACAACTTCTCAATAAGAAAAAAAGATCCAATTATAAGGTGCACAATGGATGCAAATAGAAAATTCACAAGGGACAACCCCGGAATGACTTTAAAAAATCCGTGAGGAAATGTTCACTATCACTAGCCATTTGGGAGATAAAGAGAAAAAAAAGATGAGCTAGTAACTTACACCCACAGCCATAGCCCAATTTTAAAAAATAGAATGAGAACAACACATGCTAGAGAGGATATGAAGAGATGAGAAATCTGATATTTGGCTGGCGGGCATGTAAATGTGTCCCACCATTATGAAAAGTGATATAGTGCTACCTAAGACAACTGGGTATAGAAATATCATATGAACCAGCAAAACCTTGGCCTGGAATAGACTTCAAAGAAGTATGAGACAGAACACAAACAGACGCGTGATCTCCCATGTCCATTGCAGCACAGTTCACAAGAGCCAGAAGCTGGAAACAGCCCAAATGCCCAACCGAAGAAGAATAAGTAAACTCAGGTCCACATACCTCCTGTTTATCCTTAACAAACAGAAATGAAGCCATGCAACACCTTATGACAAACATGGATCTAGAAACAATTATGCTGAATGAGTTAGTCACAAAATGACCATCTATTGTGTCACCCCACTACTACAAGGAAAAGACATCAAGAGGAAGGGAGTCTCCACACTTAGGTCATGCCATCGCTAATCTGGTCTCCCCAATCAAGACACTTCTACAAGTGTGGTAAGTGAACCTTACCGGAAATTCAAATCAGGAGAGTGGGAGGGGGCATGTGTGTTTCAAAAAAGGTGAGTACACTTCTGCTGGTGGGGAAACTGGCTGGAGCCACCTCACATCAAGGAACAAGCGCTTAACGATACTTATAGGGAAGCCAAGGGGAGAATGCAGGTAGACCTGGTACTATTTTCTAAGTGGACACTTTTGAACTCATTTATATGCAGTCCTTGGTGACCCAGGCTGGGTGCTATAGACTGCTGAGACCATCGACTCTGTCTTTTCAAGGCACATAACATCCTTCAGAGGCCACACCAGAAGGACTGGATATGGAAACTTCACTAAGCCAACTGGACATTACCTCAAATTCACATGTAGAAGATGTAAGGAACTCCAATATTCCCTTGGATTTAAGGCGAAGATGCCCTAATGTGAGAAGAAGCAGATGACTGCTATCCCAAGGTTATGGAATTGGTGATCTTGGACTTTGGTTCAGATGATCTCTTCCTTTGAAGGTGTCTAATGAATGACTTTACTGTTTAAATCCTTTCCTAACTGTCTTATATATCCTAACTTTCGTTTATATGAGTCTGGTAGGCATGGTTCTGTCTTTGTGAATGAGTTTTATTGATCGTTTTACCCATTACCAACCCCCATTGTTAGTGCAAATAGTGACCAGTCATTTAAGAGCTAAATCTTTACAAGTAAACAATTCACTTCTTACAGTGTGAAGCATGCCTTAACTTGAGTTGTGCCCCACCAGCAAATGAAGTTCCCCACGACTCCACTCCCACAGATTTTACTCCATTCATGTAACCACGATTGACTCTACTACGAGAAAGCTGCTTCCAATCAGTTACATGTCAGTGCCTTCTGACCCAAGGGGCCATCCTCCAGTGTACACTTTCATGCATTAGGCCTAGCCTCTACGGAGCATTGTGGCTGTACTTCAAAGATAGGTACATTTGTTCTTTAGACAGTCCATGGTAGTTCCATTTTTCTTCCCAGCACCATAATTCACATGCATACTGTTAGTTTCCCATTTTTACTTTTTTAGCTCCTCAATATCTAATGCACAGTTTTAAAAGTTAAAATATTTCTTTTCTTAACTGGTATATGTTAGAACCTAATTCCATGCCTGGAAAAGCTGGTGTGAACCTGAGTTGCATGAATGAATGTTCTATTACTGAGTTTCAATAGAGTAATATAGATTTAGTTAACTATGACTCATATGCCCTTTCTGCATAATAAATTCCACATGTTGTCACACAAAACATTCAACTTCAAAGCATGATTTCAATCTGCAAAGCCTCACACAGTATCTTAGATAGCATTTGACGCTGACATTGTATTTTTTTCCCCAAATGGATCCCATGCTCAACGAATTCCCAGTGAAGCAACTGATGCCTGTGACTTTGGTTGTGCATTTCTCAGACTCTGGCATACCCTGGCATGTAAGGGACCAAGTTTCCATCTAGTCAATGTAATTTTTTCAATCTGACCAAACTTCTGTCAATAATCAAAATAACCATGACCGAAGCTCCTTGTCATCTTCCTGTTTCTTTTGTGGAACAACCAGAAAGGG